CTGTTCTGGATTGATGTTATATTATACAAGAATAAAACAAGCCAAAGAATCTCAATTATATTTTTCTCTTTTGAAGTTTATCAAATTCCACACATGAGAAAATATTTTTCATATTGAACACGCAAGGAGGACTTGCATTACAGCGTATTCAAACATGGTAACGAAATCACAAAGGTATATGCAAAAATTAATTACGTGATTTCTAAGAAAAAAAATGAATAAAAAAAATGAAGGGTTGTTGTGTTAACAATATTGCGACGTTTTTGTGGATGTTTTGAAAAGCATTCAATGGGAAAAACAACAAGAAAACGTAAGGACAGTCTACAGCTTATTTTACCACTGAAATATGGTACTGAATTCTTCAGACTTTCATCATCTTAAAACTCTTCTTGCCACTAGATAAATTGGTCTTGCATCTGTTTTGAAGATGGCAGCCTGTTGCTCACGCTCAGTTGCAGCAGCCACGAAATGCTACTGTGTTAAAGTGTAGTCGGCCAAGGACTTCAGACACTGCTATGCAGGCCTCTCTAATGGTTGCTGGACCATATTTCTTGGCTCTTCTCTCAGGAGCTTGCCATTTAGTCTCATGTTGTGTTGGACAACAGCTTGATTCAAACTACTCTGTGGATTTGGCTCGTGGCCCTTCAGCGGTATCATATACATGTATATGTATCACAGCTTGAATCTTTGACTCTCTTAACTGCTGATTTATCAAAGGATATTTATACTGCTGCATGTAAATGACTCGATCTAAGTTATCTTTGCTACAAGATTTATTTGGAGACAACATTCTTTTTCATCGAAAAACATGTGATTTGTTTTTAATTTTGTGTACCTTGGTGATTTTGTTACCAAGTTTTGATACGCCGTAACACAATTCCTTCTTGCGTGATCAACATTAAAATATTATCCATTGTGTGGAATTTAATATTGTTTAAAGGACAAAAATATCATTAAGAGATCCTTATGGCTTGTTTTTTTTTTTTTTGTATAATAAAACGTCAATCCAGAACAGTTTTGTCCAGTTTATTATGTCTCTCGTAAGGTAATTAATGCCTCCTTGGTTGTCTGTGGCATACACCTCTACTCACTGTTAATAATTAACAAAGAAAGACCTTTACATGCAAGGCAAAACTGAGAACATTAGACACTGTTTTAAGATGAATGAAAAGAATTTTTCGCAGAAAACATACAATTATCTTCCGCATAAAGTATAGTGCAACAGCATTTTTGATGAAATTAATATTCTCTTCAGGGGGGTCTCAACTAAGTTAGATAACACAAAATTCTGTTGCGTGTTGTGTATGACAAGCACCCCCTGGAATGGAAATTATAGGGGTGTGGGTGGTCTAAAGTAAAAGTGCCCTCCATTGGGGTGGGGGAGGGGGGGTATTCTGGATGTTTTCTGGAACTACACATTACAGCTTACTCATATCACAGTCAACTGTAAGTTGTGAGTCAGGCAGCAAATAACCCTTGTTTTAAATAATGTTTTTGTGGTAGAACTAGTTTACTTGTAGTATTAAGAAGTCTTCGCATTTTTTAAACTTTTTTTGCAATATTATTTCAACTCAGTTGCTTTAAAAGTCAGAAATTAGGTTAAGTTTCTTGAAATTGATTTCATGGAATCGAACCCATTACAGTCTAACCTCTCTAATACGGACACCAAAGGGATACAGAGCAAAGTGTCCGAATTAGAGAGGTGTCCATATAAAAGAGGTCACTACGATAAAGTCACTTTTGTGACTCCACTTACAGTTTTAAGTGTTCAGTGGCTAAAACCAGGCTTACACTTGTCTTTAAACTGCATTTAAGTTTATTAATTCACAGTTCAAAGACACTGTCTTTCAGTAGCATACAAAATTGTGCATATCAGCTACATACGTACAGTCGTAGAAAAATCACTATTTTAAGACGAAACGAGCTACAGCGCAAAGCTGCATGTAAAAAGTTGTAACGTATTAATTGCACTATTCTGAAAGCGCCTTTCGCTATTTTGCAATTAGTAAAAAGTAACTAGAGTACAAAATGTAATAGAAAAGATCTTCATGCGATCTGTAGTTATTGAAGCCTTCAAAAAGTTGTTTATGTTCCTCCGTAGACCTTTTGCAAATTAATTGTTTGGTATAATACAGCGACAGGGCTTTTGAAGTCACCTTGCATAGCTCGATCATCAGCCAGACTAGATGGGATTTACCCTGTGTAAATTCACCTGGTCGGGATTTGGAATTCACCTGATCACTTCAGCGTCCGTAATAAAGAGGTTAAGTTTATATTGAATTTACTCTCTGGGGCCAAAATTAAGTGTCCGTTGTCCGTATCAGAGAGAGTACATATTATAGAGATATATTTTTAAGGTCAATATAGGAGAATTTTGTCAGGACATTGGAAACTGTCCGTAACATAAAGGTGTCCATATCAGAGAAGTGTCTGTACTGAGAGGTTCGATTGTAGTTTAGTAGGAGAAAGAGAAATCCATTTGTGGTGTGTTTACATCTTCCCTAAAATGTTCGCTGACAGAGGGAATTTTATGTGGCTTTTATGCAGTGATGTCAAAAAAGTGTGACTTCTTGTTTTGCCTAGGAGTATAAATGTATTTTGCTTTTTTGATGTCTTTATTGCTGTTGCAGTTGTTGTTGCTACAGCTCTCTATTTTGATCTGAAGGGGTACCTGAGTGTCATGACATATGGAAAAATCCATGTATATTTTTGTATATAGTGAAACTACCGGTTATTACGAAAATGTTCCTGTTTTGTTAAGAGGTACGTTTTACACATACAATGTAAGTGGAAATAAAAATGAAACTTTCATCATTGAATGAAGACATGAAAAATCATGAATATTATTTTTGTTATTTGAAAACTCAGTGAGGCTAATATTATTATTTTCAGCTTGAATTATTATTGCATCTTGAACAGATTGCTGAAAATAGTTTGTTCTTTTCTTTTTTTGCCATTTAAAGGGAGTCAGGAATTTGCATTTA